CTGGCTGGGGAATTCTGGGAGTTGAAGTCCATACAGCTTAAAGTGGCCAAGGTTGAGAAACCCTGCCCTAGAGAAGGAGGCACGTCTCCTCTGCATGCTTTGCAGAAATGTGCTCTCCCCAAGCCTGGTCTTGTCCTTAAAGCCAGCCTTCCGCAGGCCAAATTCCTCACTCCCAGCTTCACTTCCAGCCTGTTTCGTGGCAAGCATCCTTGGGGCTTTTTTCCTCCCAGAGCGCTGCCGATCAACGATCCCCTTTTGAAAACGCTCAGCGTGGCTGCAAGCAGCTTGGGCAAGAGGATGCTGGTGGGCGGCTGTCTCTGGGCGCTACCGTGTGACTAGTTTGGCCCAGGGATCCACGGATCCACGCCTGGATTCCCTGCCCAGCTGGCAGCCTCTCTGCTTGCTCCCCAGGGCCTCATCCTTGCTCCCTGGTCCCCGTCCTTTGATCCTGGGTCGGACTCTGGGAAGCTCAGCCTCTTTCCAGGGTTAAGTCCATACAGCTTAAAGTGGCCGAGGTTTCCAGGGGTCTCTGTTTCTCCTAAAAAGTAGCTGCTGCCTCTGAGTGTTTCCTGCCCCAGAGGGGGAACTACATCTCCCCCAGCAGTGGCACTGGCTGGTGCCACCAAATTGGAGGCAACCGTGGAGAGAAGAGAGGGCCCCCGTGGCACCTTCTAGACAGCCTCTGCACTACGGTGGCTACACAGAGAGGGCCTTGAAGGTTTCGGAGGGTTTCAAGTCCTTCCCGTCCCTTCGGGAAGCTAAAAGAATCACTGGAGGAGGCGGGATGCAAATAAATTAAGGACCGGTAAGGATGGGAACGCGATCCACCTTTTGAGAAACGTTTTAGAGGGAAAAGGGTAGCCCTGAGCATCTTCCCAGCCAGCTCTGCTGAGCCTGGCAGCTGGGGCTGATGGAGGTTGTAATCTGTCACCACCAGGCTGAGGAGGAGAGGTGGCCCTCCTGCCCCACCATCTGGCGCAGCTGGGAAAGGAAGGGGTGGCCACTTACTCCGGTCTCGTAGGTGGGATTGTTGAAGGCTGTGTCGCCCGTGATATGGCTGTAGGGCTGTGACGTTGAGAGGGGCGCTGCCATCGCCGGCTTCCCCTGATGACTGACCAGCCAGAGAAGAGGGAGAGAGACCGGGGTCACAACACGCAGGGGGCTGCCCTGCCCGGCTGTCCCGCCCAGCGCCGCAGCTCACCTGGAGACGCACAGGTACATGGTGCCCAGGAGAAGCCCGACAGCAGCCACCGGCAGGAAGACGGCGAAGGCCACGCTGGATCCTTGCGACGGGTCCCTGCCTGGCACCACCTGGGCCACCGCTGCCGGAAAAGGGAGCGAGGGGAGGCTCAGTTCGGGGGGCACCTGCCGTGCCGGAGGGAGGGGGAGAGCAGCACCCAGGAGCTCAGCCGAAGGGGTCGGCGTGTGGGGCGCCAGCAGGGGTGTCCGCAGAGTGGTCGGGAAAGGCAAGGGGGCAGCCATGATGACGTACACCCAGGCAGGCAGAGTTCGATTGCACCCACGCAACCCCGCAGGCGCCCCTGGGCAGAGCGAGGCTGGCCCCCTCTAGGCAGCGGCGTGGGCAAAGGCAGTCTGTCAGATCCTCCCAGGCTTACCGTCCAGGTTGGGGTTGGCATAAAACTCATCGCTGGAGGCTGGAAGAGAAGCAGGAGGCAGCATTGGGGGGGTTGCAAACTGGTAGGAAGGGAAGGTTTTAATGCTGGAAAACCCGGGAGCTGTTCCCAAAGCAATTCTCACTGCCCAGAAATCTGCCGGCAACAGCTGTCCCTCAATACCCTAGACCAGGGTTTCTCAACCTCAGAACTTTAAGATGGGTGGACTTCAACTCCCAGAATTCC